AGATCACCTCACCCGTACACCCACACAGATCACCTCACCCGTACACCCACACAGATCACCTCACCCGTACCTCACAATGCGGTACACCAACACATTTTGCATTATGTAAGCGACTTTTCTCTCGCATATTATATTTGTCGTGAGTTAACTTCCGATTTTCGGATTTCTTTATCCGAAGAAGTGTCTCGGTCAAATTTTCTCCCATCTTTGAGATTATGTAATACTTGTGCGACATGTCTCTGTTGTAAATGTCTCTGTTGCAAATGTCTGCGGTAACGTTTATCGCTCGTGACTTCTCTTACCTCGTGACTTTATGCGCGTGACTTCTTCTGAGTTTACTTTTTCGTTATCTTCTCAAAGTCTTTTGTGGTTGCAAATTTTGAAGAGTGAGAATTACACACGTGAGAAATTAATTTTCTTCGATAACGCGCTAGTATGTTCATAATTTATTATTTATTTTCAGGTGATTGGCACACAATATAAATATATATAATTTTCTGATTTATGACTTTGTTCATCTGATTAATTAATATGTAGTGCATAATCAGTCGGTCGATGTTCATTTTTTTAGCATATTACTGTGACAATGTATTGTTATGACGAGGTAAATTGAATACTATTACGAATTATTCAATGTTGATAATAAGACATATTAGAGACTAACTCATGATTCTTCATAAATCTCGAATACTAGCATCACTACCACTTCCACACTCCCTCTACTTTACTCCTGATGTGCTTCAAACTGTTCCTAACTATTCGCACAATTTTTCGAAATTCTTTTTCTTCTATTTTTTGCAACTTTTATATCTTCTCACCAACTATCAAAATAATTGTGCAGAAGAAAATAAATATATCTAAAAAAATAGAATGTTCTTGAATATTCAGTTGATTTTTAATTTCAACCAAAATGGTTGTTCTTTTTAATATACGACTTTTATGAGTATTTCTTGACTTACAAAATACATCATATCATGTACAACTTTTTCTATTCAACTTCTTCTACTTCTGATAATCATTTTTATTCTTTGTAACGTGATCATCAGCCATCACTAAATAACATTGGTATTACATTCGAAAGATACTTTTGTCTTCAAATACATTCGATGTTCTGGATGTGAGGAGTGAGAGACTGCTCCTTCGCATCACGTGCCTAAAAGATTATTCCCAAATTGTTTACTTATTTTTGGGAGCTGAAACATTTTAAGAAATTCTATAAGTGATGTTTCGGTATAGAGGGTCCTTGAGGATCTCTTTTACCCAAATTTCCTATCGGATTTAGACTTTCATAGTTAAAGTAGGATAGTAAATTATCATATAAGAATGAAGTTGAATTATGGAAAATTCTAATTTTCCAAAGTCACTTGTTTTATTAAATTGAAAAATATTGAAGTAAAAGTACTTCAAGGAAAGAGTCTACAAAGTTGCACCAAGCATCTTGTAAAAAGAAAGAATGAGGTGAGCAAAAACTTACTTCTGTTTCGCGTCAGACAAACAAAACTTGTCCTTATGCTTATTTATGAGAAATACCACGAGAGAGAAAGCGAACGCATCAGGTGGTTCTTACATTAATGGAAATGAAAAACTAACAAATATCGAAAAATATAACGGGAGCAGAAGAAATAAAAAAATCCTAAGTATAAAAAGCATGGTTTAAGCAAACCATAAGAAACTTGAAAGAACAAGTAATAAAGATGTGACAGCTTTTGAAGAAGCACCACCCTCTAAGACTTCATAAGTACTGACTGGAGCAGAAACAACAGGTGAAGTGGTTCCAGAGTTATCAGAACCTGGTGAACCAGAACCAGAACCAGAACCAGAACCTGGGACTTTGGTAGGACTCGATTGAGGAGTAACTTGAGGGTTTCCACCATCAGTATTAGTACCTTCACATTGATCACATGGCAAAGTCTTAGTAGTAACTGTTGTTTTGGTTGACGTGGAGACGCCACCTTCACAAACATCACATGGAATGGTAACAACAGTGGTAGCGGTTTCGGTGGTTGTGACTGGACCTGAAGGTGGGGTAGCGGTTGAGGTAATCATAGTTGTGTCAGTGACTGGACTTGGAGGGACTTCTGAAGTGGTATTAGACCAAGGAGTTGGAGTGACAACGACGTATTCAGTAAGAGGTACTGAACCGGTGGTGATGGTGGTTAAGTAAGTTGTTGGGAATCTACCAGGAATAGTAGTAGTTGGAATATTTGGAGTAGGGGTCACGGTAACATACTCAGTGACTGGTACTGAACCGGTGGTGATAGTAGTAAAATAACCGGTAGGAACTGAGCCACTAGTGAGGGTGGTAGTTGAAACATCTGGTGTAGGAGTGATGGTGACATACTCAGTAACTGGAACTGAACCGGTGGTGATGGTAGTAAAATAACCGGTAGGAACTGAACCACTAGTGATGGTTGTAGTTGGGATATCAGGAGTTGGAGTGACAGTAACATATTCAGTAACAGGAACTGAACCAGTAGTGATGGTAGTAAAATAACCAGTAGGTACTGAACCACTGGTGATAGTGGTGGTTGGAATGTTTGGAGTTGGAGTTATAGTAACGTACTCGGTGACAGGAACTGAACCCGTAGAAATAGTAGTCAAGTAACCGGTAGGTACTGAACCACTTGTAATGGTTGTAGTTGGAATGTTTGGAGTTGGAGTAATGGTGACGTACCCAGTAACTGGGACAGAACCAGTAGTAATAGTAGTCAAATAACTAGTTGGGACTGAACCACTGGTGATAGTTGTAGTTGGAATGTCTGGAGTAGGAGTGACAGTAACATATTCAGTAACAGGAACTGAACCAGTAGTAATAGTAGTCAAGTAACCAGTAGGTACTGAACCACTAGTGATGGTAGTAGTTGAAACATCTGGAGTAGGAGTGATGGTGACATACTCAGTAACTGGAACTGAACCGGTGGTGATGGTAGTAAAATAACCGGTAGGAACTGAGCCACTAGTGAGGGTGGTAGTTGGAATGTTTGGAGTTGGGGTTACAGTAACATACTCAGTAACAGGAACTGAACCAGTAGAAATAGTAGTAAAATAACCAGTAGGTACTGATCCGCTGGTAATAGTACTTGTTGAAATATCTGGAGTAGGGGTAATGGTTACGTACTCAGTAACAGGAACTGAACCAGTAGTAATAGTAGTTAAGTAACCGGTAGGTACTGAACCACTGGTGATAGTGGTGGTTGGAATGTTTGGAGTTGGAGTGATAGTAACATATTCAGTAACAGGAACTGAACCAGTAGTGATTGTAGTCAAGTAACCAGTTGGAACTGAACCACTTGTAATGGTAGTTGTTGATAAAGGTGGAAATTCTACAACAACTTCGCTAGTTGGCACAGAACCTGTGGTGATGAGGGTTGTGTAGGTGGTTGGGACGGTACCAGTAGTAATGGTGGTTGTTGATAAAGGTGGAAATTCTACAACAACCTCGCTAGTTGGCACAGAACCTGTGGTGATGAGGGTTGTGTAGGTGGTTGGGACGGTACCAGTAGTAATGGTGGTTGT